TTTTTAAAGTTATTTAGGCAGATGAGATACTTTATCATGCTCTTTTAAAACAATGTTGGGCTGGTGAGATGGCTCAGTGGTCTAAAGTACCTACTTAGAACAAGCTTAGCAAAGCACATGGACCACGGTTCAATCCCCCAGCACCACATGCCAGCCAGCCCCGCCCCCTGGTGGGCTGAGCTGGCCACACACACCAAATAAATAAATTAATTAATTAAACAAAACAAAAAACAAAACAAAAACAAAAAACAAAAAACAATGTTCCTTTTACTCATACATCATCCTTGATCACTATTTTTCCTGCTCCGGTCACCAACCCACAAAGTAAATTTTAAGAAAAGAGGCAGGAAGTCATCTGTTCTCCTCACAGTTTGGGGACTGAATGCCAGTTGAGGGGAGTTTACTTTGGGTATTTGAAGGTCATGATGTCCTTGTATTTCCCAGGTCAACATGCGATTAACAGCACGAGGACCCAGGTGTTATTTCAATCCACTAAACATCCGATGTGGGATGGGGTAGGGACAATCACTCTGGATTTTGAGAATGAGAAACTGTAGCAGACACTAAACTACTTGTTGAAGGTCACAGAGTGAGAAGCTGGAGGGGGACCTCCAACTGTCAATCCCGGTGCTCTTCTCTCTCCCACACAGGCAGCACCCATGCACACCCCCACGGATGGTTTACTGCTGTCATTTCCTGTTACTGACTCTAAGGCACAACTGTAATTAGCAAATGATGTGTGCCACATGCTGAAAATATTTAATATCCCTGGGGAAGAGGATGGGGCTTTGGAACAGTTGTGCCTGCTGGCGTAACTCATAATCTACACATAATTTATTTTGTAATAGGGTATGGAACTGATCAACTCAAATGGAGCAAGACTTTACCAAAAACTATCAGCCAATGGAGGGATGGCTCAGTGGTCTAAAGCACCTACTTAGAACAAGTTTAGCAAAGCACAAGGACCACAGTTCAATCCCCCAGCACCACATGCCAGCTAACGCCGCCCCCTGGTGGGCTGAGCTGGCCACACACACACACACACACACACACACATAAATAAAAATTAAAAAAAAAAAAAAAAAACTATCAGCCAAGATATCCTCTATATTCCATACAAAGCTCCTATTTTTGGCAAGTTCTGGATCCCTGCTTGAAATCTATAGTCACCTGGGTCCCCGGACAGCTGTGACCTGCCTGACTCAGGGAGAGGGGAATGAACCTGGGGACTCCAGGCACCTTCCCAGGTAGATGTTGATTATACAGTAGGCTGGGGCTAGGAAGATAGCTTGGCAGTCTGAGCGCCTGGCTGGGAAGCACAGGGACCCAGGATTGATCCCTGGTACTGTGTTGAGCAGGCCCCCAGATCCCGGGTATGCTGTGCTGGCCCTGAAACTGGGCGTGGTTGGCGCATGCCTGTACTCCTCGACTGGGGAAGCTGAGACGGGAGGATCAGTACAAGTCTGAGCTGTGTAGCAAGACCCTGTGACAAATAAATAAATAAATAAATAAACAAACAAATAAATAATAAATAGCAAGCAGGCTGTGTGACAGGGACACGACATAAATGCCAACTATCTGAGGGGAAGCACCAACAAGGCCATGCAGAAGCTAGTCACAGACTTGGCTGTGCAGGCCATTCAGAGACCAGAGATGGTAGGGATGGAGCTGCGAACCGACCCCAGCCAGAGGGGGTGACCTGCTCCCCTCCCCCTCCTTCCCTTCACGCTCTCAAAGTCTGAAAGGTCCACTGTCTACCCCCATCCTCTGATCTCTCAAATGACCAGACTACTGGCCACCCAACGAAAGAGCCAATCCTGCTCCGTGGACTCCTCCAGCAGCTACTCTGCATATCTGCTCAGGAGTCACACGTTACTCTCCTTGGCTCTTTAGTTCATTCATTCATTGAAACTCCCGCTAAGCAGCTGCCTGTGTCAAATACTAATCTGGTAGTTAGGGACCCTGCAAGGCGGTGGGGGCAGACAGGCAGATCACTACCTTCACAAAGCAATCAGGGAGGAGCGCAAGTTACAGACCAGGTAAATGCTGTGAAGGAAACAAGTAGAAGGCCAAGAGACAACACAGCAGATTTCAGAAAGGGCCTTTCTGAGAGAATACTGAACTCTTAATGAAATTCTAGAAGTCCTGTATTTACATTCCGTGGTTCCAGGCTAAAAGGCAGGGATAGCTGGGTGTGGTGCCTCACACCAAAAATCCTAGAACTTGGAGGCTGCAGGGCAGGAGGATCACTGTGGGTTCCAGGCTATCTTGGGCTCTACAGTGAGTTCAAGACCAGCCTGAGCTACATAAAGGGACCCTGTCTCAAAAAGTAGGGTGGGGCACGGACACTATAACCTTGAGATGAGAAGGCTCCCCTACCTCAGTCATTTTCCTGGACTCCACACTCTGCATGTCTGCCACTGAGCAAGTGCCCCACCTGACATGTCCCTTCTGCCATCTGGCACCAGCAGCAACTGAGCTCCAGCCCTATACCCCTGGAAGTATTTGACCAACTGAGGTTGTCAAGGAGGCCAATGATACATAGTGGATACCTAATAATCTGCCAATTTAAGGAGCCCATTGGGTGGGGTGGCCCATGCCTGTGATCCTAGCTACACAGGTGGCTAGGACAGGTGGATGACTTAAGGGCTGAATGGGTGACAAAGCAAGACCCTGTCTCAAAAAAAAAAAAAAAAAAAGAGTACCTGGACCCCTGCAGGCTGACACAGCCTGTTGGTGATATCCTTCAGTGACAACATGCATAGGCCCTCTCCTTCAGCAAATCCCACCACCTAGAATCTATCTTCAAAAATACTGGCATGGGAGTAAAAGAACATGGTATTTTCATTTCAAGTAGCAAAATAACCAGAAGGAACCTTAATGCCTAAAAACATGGGTTTATTTGGTCAAATAAATCATGGTGCCTCCAAACTATGGCATATGACAGAGCCATTAAAAGAATGCTCTCAAGATGAGAGCACTGGGCTGGGGAGATAGTTCAGCAACATAAGTGCCTGCCTCGCTAGGGTATTTTTTTTTTTTTTTTAAATACCTGAGTTCCATCCCTGGTATTAAGAAAAAGAAAAGAAATGATGAGATCACTAAGTGAAAAACCCCAAATGAAAAAAACACTTCATCAAGCAGGAGTATCCTTGGGAGTTCAAGACCAGCCTGGGCTACAAAATAAGCTCTCAAGGCCTGCCTAAACTGCATAGTGAGACTCTGCTTCAAAATTAGTGAGACAGACAGAGACAGAGACAGAGACAGAGACAGAGACAGAGAGAGAGAGAGAGAGAGAGAGAGAGAGAGAGAGAGAGAGAGAGAGAGAAAATAAGACACTGCCCAACCCCAATTCCTTTCTAATAATTCGGTCTCTCCTGCCTTTAGGAGCACCTGACCAAGTGCCAATACGCCCTTGCGATTGGTGTAGACCCTTCCCTCAGAGGGACAATCACAAGGGAAAACATTTGTTATATGGCAAGTTCCACAGACACTTCATAGTCACTGAACAATATTTCCCAACTAAAACTAGAGACTCAGGACAAGAACAGGCCGAGGACAACTTCTGTGAAGCTCATTAACCTCCCAAGAAGCACAACTAGGCCCAGCACCCTCACCTGCCGGCCACTGGCATGCAGGGAAAAGGAAGGAAATTCCAGCAAGACAGAAGAACCAGGGCAGACTTTTGCTTTCTTCAGACAAAAACTGAAACTTGCAAACTCCTGCCACATGAGACATAGGCAGGAAGCGCTGCCAGGACACCGGCCTCCGTCTCGCTTCCTGCTTGCTGTTCACAATCCAGGACAAATGCCTGGACGACAGTCCTTGCAGCAGAAATGTCCACGAGGAAATGCCAATCCCAGCACTCTCTGGAAAATCTAAAGGCCCTTCTTTCCTCACAGCAGTTAATCCTGGAGGCAGAACTCCCCTGGGGACTGGCCTCTGGCATCACTCATCTTTCCTGTAACCTGGCTTTTATCTTGAGTGCTGTGCACAGCAAACGCCTGGCTATGCTGATGGCAATTGCAACAGGAAGTAGAACAAATGCTTCTCCTAAGACTTCAACATGAAGGACCTGAAAGAAGGCACCCCAGTAGACCAGGAAACTTCAGGAAGGGTAGGCCAATCCACAGGTTTGCTAGGCCCTCTGCCACCAAAACTCTGGCAGAATGACCCAGAAGTCTGCTCATTTTTTAAAGAGACAGGGTCTTGCTATTCAGTTCAAGTTGGCTTTGAACTCACTAGGTAGCCCAGGCTGACCTTGAACTGATGGCAATCCTCCTGCCTCAGCCTCCCAAGTGCTGGGAGTATGCCACCACACCCAACCTGTCTTTTCTTTGAAAAACAATCAGTGACATGGAACTGTGACAGTTACCATAGGGAAGCTGTATTATTAACAGACTCCCACTGAGGACTGCGATGCTTGAGCTGTTGCTCTTGGAGCTGAGGGACAGACTTTCCCCAGCCGAGGAAGGGCCAAACTCCTCACTGGGACTCCGCAGGCTGTGCCCCCACTTTCTCCTCCCCATTCCACCCAGCCACACAGTTCATGTGTGACTCGCCCAACCCTGCCTCGGTCCTGCTGTCCTCGCCCCGAGTGCCTTTCCGTCCCTCCACCCTACCCTACTCGGTGTATACACTATAGGTGCCACACTCAGTGTCAGCAAGTCAGGCCTTGCTCACATTTGCTTTTGGCCTTTCTGCTGATGCTGGGCAAGAGACATGGAGCCTCATTTATAGATGATGCCAATCATTTATAAATCAGAGACAACAATGCCTGTTGCTGGGCTTGCTATGAGGATTCAGTAAGGTGACCAGCTCAGCACAGAGCCCAGCAGCTCTGCTCTAACTGCCCTCCCCTCTGCCTGACTGCGAGCCACGTGAGGGAGAAGCGGTCACTCCTCCACGTCCAAATCCCCAGGATGTGGAACCCCAGGGCTTGGCTGAATGCACGAGACTACAAAATGAACCCCTGGCTCCGTGCTGCCGTTAGCACTTACCTGCCCGACATTGAAGGTCAGAGTGATGGCATAAAAGAAGTTGGAGTTGGCACTTCCTGCATAAATCCAGAGATGCCACAGGACAGGGAAGAGCAGGGAGCAGACGATAATGATGCAGGCAAGGACGAAGATGTTCCGCAGGACTGCAAAGACACAGGGTCACAGTTAGGCCTGCGCTTGGGCTCCAGCACACTCCCTTTGCTGGATGGCGCCACAGGACAGAGGCTGTGGGAGCAGCTCACGAGGCTCAGAGGCACTGGGGCACCAAGAGGCAAACCTCAGCTCCTGATTCCATGGTCCCTATGCCCGCAGCTGGTGGGAGCGTCTAGGTTAGTCTCTGGTCCCAGGGTAGACACTGGTGGTGATGCCATGAGTGCCTCTAAAGTTTGCAGACACACCATTTCAAGAAGACACCCAACCTCAGAACATCCAAGAGTAACTCCTCCCTCTTCCCATGCAGGCGCCATCTGGCCGCACGGAATCACAGGTGGGAAGCACAGCCGGAAGCAGACAGCAGAGCTCCGTGGTGGGTCTCAAGATGCCACAGTTCTGGGGTCTCAGAAACAGGTTTTTCCATCATTCTTCACTGGTCCCCCCAGGTCCCTTTCTTGCTCTTTATATATAACTCACTCTCCCTTAGACTGCCATCAGCAAATCTGTGTCTGACATTCTCCCTGCTTGGCATCACTCCACGCTGAGCTTCCAGGGAAGTCCTGCCACATGGAGGTGCTGCTCAGGCAGGCAGGCAGTGTCTAGCTGGATAGGAAGTCCTAGCCTCTAGAGACCTGGGTTAAAATCCTTTTCTGTCACTTATTAGCAAGTGTCTCTAAGTTTCCTCATTTCTGTTTTTTTAAATGAAAAACATTTTTATGTTTCAGAGCTAAAATACCTATTGTATAGGACTATAATGTAGATTAAATAAGATCCATGACAAACTGGCATAGATGTATGACTGTGTGTACTAGTTTTCTATTACTGCTATAGCAATTTCCCCCAAATGTAGTGGTTTTAAAGAAGAAAATTTATTAACACACAGTTCTAGGGGTCAGAAGTTTGGAATGGGTCTCAGGGGCTGCAACCAAGAGTCTGGGCTGGGCTGCAATCCCTCCAGAGACTCTGGGGAGAACACATTTGCTTGACTCTACCAGCACTGGGGCTGCCTGCACTCCTGGGACCCTGATACTTCCGGCTTCAAAATCAGGAATGGAGACTGACACTGTCTCCTAGTGCCTCCCTCTGACCTCTTTTTCTTCTGCTGTTTCTTTCTTTTCTTTTTTCTTCAAATAGATTATTTTTTTGGACCAGTCTTAGATTCACAGACACTAAGCTACATCTTCTACTTCTGATGATTCTTGGGATGATTCTCAGGCCCACCTGGATAATCCAGGATACTCTATCTCCTTCACATCCTTCAAGTCTCCTCTGTTATGTAAGGGGACATATACACAGGTTCTGGAACTAGTGATCATCTCTGGAGAGCAGGGAGACCATCTGCACAAATCTCATTTGTTTCTTTTAATTCAAGAGTTATCAGGATTATGTTATTATTCCTATTTATATTGTTTAAAACTACTAAATATTATTTAAAATAAATTAATTGAAAGAACACCTTTCTAAAAAGAATTCTAACTCCTTTCTGATCCTGACCTTCAGGAAATCCCTTCTGTAAGCCAGAGGTGTTTTGTTTTGTTTTGTTTTGTTTTGTTTTTTGGCAGAACCGGGGATTGAACTCAGGCCCTTGCGCTGCCAGGGAAGCGCTTATTCCACTGAACCATCTCCCCAGCTGTAAGCCAGAGTTTTGGGAAATTTAAAGGATGGAGAAACTCCCAAATATTCAGGCAGTTTGTCTCAGTTGTGCAATGACTGGGCAGAAACTGGACGGTGACTAGCTGACAGATGATTCAGCTCCAGCTGCAAAATGAAATCCTGGCTGGGGAAGGAAGCCCCACCAGGACGGAGTCAGGGTCTCTAGGGTAGGGCCAGGCACCCGCAGGGCTTCACACACTTCCTGGGTGATCCTAGGAGGCTGCCCGACACCCTGACAGTCTGCCGAAGAGCTGCCACTGTCTATGGAGTAAGAATAGTAAGAAAAGCAATTCATAGTCTGAACTACATCCTGGCCCCAAGATGACTGCTGCTGTTGTTACTGTTGTTTAAAAAAATCCTCTTTTGTCCATGAAATCCCACAATTTGGACAATGGCCGAGGGGACTTACAAGTTCCTCTTTTGTGATATGAAATTTCTGTGGTCCTGGGTTATCAAAGTTGGGAGTTCAAATTCCTGACACAGGTCTCAGTGGCCTCTCAGAGACGCTTCTACCTCTTCTACTCTAGAAGCAGAGAGGCCAAGAAATGGGATGTTTATACTGAGGGTCGTTGCTGCTGTTATGAAACAATGTGAAAACCCCAAGAAAAAAGAAATCTGCTCACCATGCCTCTGCTCCAATACTATCATTTCTAATTCTCAGTGGTTCTTCAACCCCTGGAAATTTCTTTTGCTGAGAATACACACTATTTCTAAAATGAAACTACTGGTACCTGACGGATTGGGTTGGTTTTTGGTCCTGTGCCTCTAGCCAGGGACAGAAACTTTACAGACGAAGTGACAGAAAAGTACAAAGAGGAGAGAGGCTCACACATAGCTTCTGGTCTAGAAGTGACACTTGACATTCCCATGTGCTGGGAGGACCAGCATCCAAGTGGCTTCTGGCCTGTGGTGACCTCTGCAGGAACACAGAGCTGCCACTCACTCCTGCTGGTAATAGGTCAGAAGATTAAAGCTACATGCCAGAGCACGTGGAACTGGGGACCTGGGGCACAGGACAGCTTGTTCTGGGCAACAGGAGGCGTCAGAGATGACCACGGCTGAGGAAACGAAGGGCTTGCCCTGCATCAGATCTGCGAGGCCCCAAGGAGTCAGGTTCCCCACTGCACTCACTGGGAGCCCTATCCAATTCCTGGCACTACCAGGGACAAGCTGATCCTTCTGGTGAATCACTTTCCTTCTCTCTGTCTTAGTCACTCAGAAATAAAAACCGATTTGAAAAGTCCAGTCTTATCAGGAGGAGCATAATGGGGTTTCAAAGGTCAAGGTAACATTTCTCTTCTTAAACTACAGACACGGGAACTTACTATGTAATTATTCTTCAGGATTTCTTCCTTTTTTTTTTTCCTCCCCTTTAAGCAGTATTTGGGATTGAACTCAGGGCCTTGCTCACGCTTAGCAAATGCCCTACCACTGAGGTACACCCCAGCCCTTTCATTTTATATTTCATTTTTTGAGATAGGGTTTTACTAAACTGCCAAGGCTGGCCTCAAATTTGTGATCCTCCTCCCTCCATCCTCCAGGTAGCTGGGATTACAGGTGTGTGTCACTTTTCCTGGCTTATTTTATTAATATTCTTTTAGCTCTGTACAATAGTACAACACACAATCTACTCCAGCCCTTGGGGAGCTGTTTCTACAGCTGGACCCCGCAGGCTGGCTCTAGCGCCACCAGCACGCTGCCCCTGACACAGGACCGCGCATCTGTCTGCTCCTCCTGGCCCCAGCTCCACGGAAGCCAGCCTCCAGGCCCATGTCGGGGCAGAGCCAGTTTCTCTTTTCCTCCCCACTGTCCAGTTCAGGAAAACTGAAAGGTGCAGCGAGACCAGGCACACAAGCACTGGATTCCTGCCGATATACTGCACCCATGAGGCCCGAAGACCGCCTCAGTTCTCTGTTCAGGAATGTCAAGGCTCAGGGTGGAGGATGAGCATCGCTGGTGGAGTGACTCAGAGCTCTAAGTCCCAAACGCCAGCACTCCTTGCCGCAGGTGCAGCGCGGGTGGCAACCTCCTCTGTGTAGGAGCTGAGCTTGTAAAGTTCCTGCCTGGCCAGCAAGCTACAGCATCTATTTCATCACCCAGATTTCTGGAGCCCTCATCTTTCTTCTTTGTGCCTCACTGCCCCAGAGGACACAAAATAATTTATTTCAAGTTTTGGAAATTTATTTCAGTGAGCTTGGCAACAAGCCTGAAGCTTGCATAATGCAAACATGTAAGTATTACTGTTAATGATAGCCATAGTGCTATTAACACATTTTCTTTCTCAAACTCCCATGAAAGACAGTCTTCTCATTTGATTTTTGTTTTGTTTTTTGAAACAGAGTCTAGCTCTGTCATTCAGGCTGCCTTGAACTCACTATGTAGCCTAAGCTCACCCTGAACTCATGGCGATCCTCCTGCCTCAGCCTCCAGAGTGCTGGGACTACAGGTGTGCACTACTGCACCTGGCAGTCTCATTTGATAGGTGAAAAAAATCAGAGGCCAAGAAATGTTCAGTGGCCACATGTGGTTCATGCCTATAAGCCCAGCTACTTGGGAGAGTGAGGCAGGAGGATCACAAATTAGAGGCTAGGCCTGGCAACTTAGTAAGATCCTGCCTCAAAATTTTTCAAAAAAGGGAGCTGAGCTGGGTATGGCTGGGTACATCTGTAACCTCAGTACTCAGGAGGCTGAGACAGAAGGATCACAAAGTTTGAGGTCAGCCCGAGCTACATAGTCCAAAGTTAGCCTGAACTACATCGTGACACCTTGTCTCAAAAGAAAAAAAGTGGGTAGAGGGCTGGGAATGTAGCTCGGCAATCCCTGGGCTCAACCCCCAATATCCACCTCATCCCCCAGATAAGTTCAATAATTTGCCTAAGAACACACAGCTGGTGACAGGAAAGCCAGGATGCAAGCTCAAGACAGCCTATCTGCAGACGGGGTGCAGCACTGTGGAATCAGACACTGAGAGGGAGTGAGAGCCCTGTGGGAGAGACAGCTAAGGAAGAACCACCCACTTTTATGGAAAGAAAAGCAGTGTCCTGAAGGCCCACCTGTCACAGGTTGGGGCCTCTCGGTATGTCCCATGATTTGTCAGTAGCCAGTCTGCTGCGGGGCCCCAAGCTGACTCAGCCCACTGGACCGAGTGATTTGTGCCTGTGCCATGAGGATGTCACAGGCAGAAGACGCTGCGTCTCTTCCCAGTGAGCCCAGACTGCTGAGCGCTCCACCAGGCCTCCCCACGGGGCAGCCTGTAGCTGGCCCACCCACTTGGCTGTTTACCTTCGTGGGCACCTGCACCAACAGGCAGGCTTCCCACTGGCAGCTGCTCAGTCTCACTTCCTGGTCGACACCCAGACAACCCCCGAAACAACAGACTCACTTCTTCTGGAGCCTGTGCTCCCCCATTTTATTCCTCACAGTTCGTTGTGCAGCCACAGCAGAAAAAAATCTGCTGGGTCACTGACAACATCTCTTTCATAGAGTTTTGGTTTTTTTTTTTTTTCGGAACCGGGGATTGAACTCAGGCCCTTGTGCTTGTCAAGCAAGCACTTATTCTACTGAGCCATCTCCCCGGCCCTCATAGAGGTTTAACAAACTCCAGCTGCAGACATTCGCCAATACTACCTCTGAGTGTTAGGTTCTGTGCTGGGTGATGGAGACAAAGCAGCAAAGGGGTCTTGATATTGGCCCTACAGTAACTCAAGACACTGAAAAAAACAGCCAGAGAGGGCCAACTGAGGGAAGCACTGGGGCCTAGAGCCACCTCTGAGGAAAGCATGGGCGGAATGAAGAAGGGTCTTCATGGAGGCAGGAAATCTGGGGTCACTCACTGGGCTCTAGGAGCTCTGGGTGCAACACTGGGGGATGGTTGTGAGTCCAAGGCTGGACTTGCCCTGCCCAATGTGGTAGGCTGGCCATATGTGGCTTTTTTGATTTTAAATTAAAAATTCAGTGTCTTGGTCACATTAGTGACTACTCTGTTGGACTATGCAGACATGGGATGTTTTCATTGTCACAGAAAGCCCTGTTGGACAAAGTGTGGGAGAGGCTCACCGATCCAGGTTCTAAAACTAGCCATTCTCCTTAGCAGTCACCAGTTTTTCATTTGTTTATTTGTTTGTTTTGGGACAGGATCTCACTATGTAGCTCAGGCTGACCTTGACTTCACTATGTAGTCCAGGCAGGTCTCAAATACATGGTGATCCTTGTGCGTTAGTCTCTCAAGTGCTGGAATTACAGGTGTGCACCATCGCACCCAGCCCAGTCACATCTGAGTTAACAGGCTCTACCTTTCTTTCTTTCTTTTTTTCTTTTTTGTGGAACCGGGGATTGAACTCAGGCCCTTGCGCTCGCCAGGGAAGCACTTATTCTACTGAGCCATCTCCCTGGCCCTAGGTTCTACCTTTCTATACTTCAATTTTTGCTTCTTGGGGATACTTGCCTCAAAGGCTGGTGTGAAGATAAAATTAGCTAATGGACGTAACACTCTTAGAGGTCTAGAATAGAGTAAGTACTCAATACATGGTACTCAAGTTTATCAGCACTAGTCACAGCACCAGAGGGTAGACACTGCACCACACTCCTGCTGCTGCCTGTACAGCAGATGCCCAGTGAATACCTATCAATTCCTTTCTCCCTGGCTGTTTCATGCAGGGCCAGGCTAACACCAAGCTGCCACCCACAGGGAGCATCAGAATACTTACATCTGTAGAGATGATTCCACACAGGAAAGAAGGCCATGTAAAGGGCCACGTCCCCTACTGTTGGATAGGACTTGAAGATGGAGATAATGGCAATCTGGATGAACATGAAGAAGATGGGGTGCTCCCTAGGGAGGGGCAGGGGAGACAAACAGAAAAAGATCAGCCAGGTACCAGGCCCATCCCAGAGACTACTGACTCCACCCCTCGAACCAAAAAATACTCCTCAGGGCATTTCAGGTATGGGCTGGCTGCCTACCTGGAAGACAGGGACTAGCTAGGCCCCAGAGGCACAGCAGAAAACTGCAGGGACCCAGAGATGCCCAGAAGAGGTGAGGAGGGCCTGAAAAACACTAGAGAACCAACCAGAGACATTTCCCATTATTGCCACTACCTGCCTCTGGCAGCTCTGGACCTTTCCCCTGGGAGCCAGGAAGGAAGAAAACAAATGAAGTCAGCGTATTACCAGGCTGAAATAAGTGCTTGTCAAGGCCCCGAGGACAACAAACAGGTCCCAGGCAGGAAGTGCCTCCTGGCTGGTGCTCTGCTTGCTATATAGTATAGTATATATAATATAGTAATTAAATCTGCAGGCCCTTAATGTTCAGAAAGAAAACTGAGGTACAGGCCGTTACTTCAGCTTGTAAGGGCTGGAATTCTTCTTCTTTTTTTTTTTTTTTAGCAGAACTGGGGATTGAACTCAGGCCCTTGCGCTTGCCAGGGAAGCGCTTATTCCACTGAGCCATCTCCCTGGCCCTTGGAGTTCTTCTCACACTAACTAGTAAGAGTCTAAATTATGATTTTAGGCTAATAGCTGGGGTTATAGCTCAATAGCACACTGCCTGCCTGGCAAGCACAGGTTCTAAGTTCAATTCCTAGTACCAATTAAAAAAAAAAGAAAAAACATAAACTAATACCAAATGATGGCAATAGCAACTACATCCTGAACTCTGCTAAATTTGGGGCAAAACCTCTTCTGCATGATCATCTCAAGTGATTGTCACAAACCTCAACTAGCCCTCAAGGCAGGCAATTCTGTCCTCCATCCTTTACAGATACCTCTATAACCTTCCTAGTGACACTGAACACATGCCAGGGACCCACTTCTTCACACAGCCTGGGGGCTTGCTCAGGAAGATTTGCTTCCGTGGTCTCGCTTCTCTGAAGCCAGGATAATGAACCACAGCCAAGGCTACTGTAAGTTCCTCCCTCAGGAGCTTGGCCTAACAAAAGCATGAGCCAGCAGAGATTCTGGACCCGTGTCTGAATTCCAGTTCTGGGGCTTATAAGCTCCATGACTCTGGAAAAACCTTGCCGAGAATCAATTTGTTCAACTCTAAAATGCCCAAATAAGAAAATAAGGGGTGTGTGTGTGTGTGTGTGAAAATAAGATTAGGCCAGTCTCCACAAGTTGCTGGTATGACTATGTTTCAGGCAGCCTAAAAAGGTGCCTAGGATTGGAGAACGCTGCACAGCCCTCTCATACTGCAGAAGAGAACAGATAATCCCTCTTGAGAGAAACTGATCAGAACATTATTTGGTAGAGCTGCGAGTGGCCACCCTCTCAGCTAATCCATCTTGAGTCCCCTCAGACAGTCACTGGGCTGCTGATGGAAGATACTCAATCACATCTACTTTTTCCAAAGACATCCTCCCTATAATTTCTGTTCTTGCCAAAATCATGGGGAAGGGGGCCTGTGGGGATATACCTCAGCAGCACAGTGCCTCCCTGAAAAGAGCAAGGTCCTAAATTCTATTCCCTATAGAAAGAAAAAAAAAATAATTGTGAGTGGGCTTGGCAGCAGCCTGTGTCCAGGCATCTCTGAGTAAGGCCAGGAAGAAAAAGCCAGGGCTCCAACGCTGGTGTGTGCCTCTAGGCTGCTAGTTCTGGCCACAGGCACCCGAGGCGGCCAAGCAGGGTTCCTTGGCCAAAGATATCATAAAGCTGATGGCAAGTGCAGCCATTAAAAGAGCACTTGCAAGGCCACAGGGGGACCAAGGGACAAAGCAACTTACTTTAGCTTGATGGCCAAGGGGATAGTGTAGAAGAAGACGTTGATCTGAAACACGCAGACAAAGAAGAGGCTGAAGTGCTCAAACATCTCCGCAAAGAAGTACCAGAAAAGACCAATGTTTGGGGTGAGATCTGGAACAGAAAGTCTGGAATTAAGAAAACACAGGGAGAGAAAAAAAGAGTTGAGTCATAAATGGCATGCTTCACTTTTATTTTCTTTTGAGGACTTGGGATCACTGCTGGGCAGCCAAGGAAGACTCCCCCACTACAGAGAGCAGGATGAGAAGGGCTCTCCAGGTAGCCTGAGCACAGGAGAGCAGCAGAACAAGGAATGCAGAACATCAGCAGGAATGCTAAGCTATAATACATATGGACTAAGCCAAAAGAATCTGAAATGAGAGAGGATTCAACTTAAAAATCAACAGATTAGGGCCAGGGAGATAGTTCAATAGAATAAGTGCCTGCCTAGCAAGCACAGGATCCTAAATTCAATCCCTGGTATTGCAAAATAAACAAACAAACAAATAAATAAAAGAAGGTAAAATAAAACATTTTTTAAAAAATCAAGTGATCAGCCTGTCCTTCGTGGTCCAGAAGTTTATAATCTGCAGTTGTGAAGCACTGGAACAAAGCAGGGAAAGATGTAAATAAAGATCTATTTTTGGCTTTCAAAGACCAGCCCAGAGACCCTCCTCCCCCACACTGTTCCACATCCTACACCAGGAGCTCGGAGATTATGCACCTGAACTTGCAATGATACTTGGAGGGGCTTCAGGATCCACCCAGAGGTTCTCCTAGGATCCCCAGGACCCCAGAGTACACTGAGATTTAGGGTTTAACTAGAAAATTTTCTGTCTGGTTATATCATATAAAAACTGGCTACAGTTTTGGCTCCTCTGAAAGTATATATAAAGCCAGGTATGGTGGCACACACCTGTAATCACAGCACTCAGGAGGCAGAGGCAGGAGGATGGTTTTGAGTTCAAGATCAGCCTGGGCTACAAAGTGCACTTGAGGCCAGCCTGAACTGCACCCTGTCTCAAAAAACCAAATAAAAGAAAAGAAAAGTATATACAATGTGTATATTATTTTTGTTCGCTTTTTTCCTTTTAGAGAAAGTGTCTCACTATACAGTAGGTTAAACTCACTACGCAGCCCAGGCTGGTCTCAAACTCTTGGCAATCCTCCTGTCTCAGCCTCCCAAGTGCTGGGATTACAGACATGCACCACTACTCTTGGGTATGTGTGTATTAATCTTAGAAAAAAAATTTAAATGTTTTTAATGCTGAGAATTGAACCAAAGGCCACCAGTATGCCAGGCAAATGCTCTAGCCTTGACCTACATCCCTAGCAGAGGGCTATACATATTTTTTTTCCCAAGAATATAGTGCTTTACCACAAATCTTTCACATATATTCTCATTTGACCCCCACAACAACCCTGTGAGGTAGGCAGCACAGATGTTTTTCTCATTTAACAGATGAGGAAAGTAAATCTCAGAGTGGTTAACATGCCCAAAGTTCTACAGTTAGTAAATAATTGTATTAATATCAGTCTTTGGCCTAAAAATTCAGCACCCAGCCTCCCCTCATGTATGCCCACCTACTTCACAGGGATAGTGAAGATAAAATGAATTCAAGGCTAGAAAAATACTTGGAAGGAAAAAAGCTCTATTAATTATATAGTGTATGAACCCAGAACATTACATTACCTCTGTCTAAACTAACCAAGCAACTAAGTAAGGCAGGGTAACAGTGTGATCCTGTTTAACGATACATAAATCACAATCAGCATAGCTGCATTATTAAGCAAAACGAACAACACACAAAGGCTAATGAGCAACTAGGCCCCACTAAAGTACACAGCAAAGCAAGGCAACATTATCAGACAGGGCGTGATTGCATAGAAGAAAACAGTGGTGTCAGAGTTCAAACTGGCACACACATAGTTATCTAAGGCAAAGTGGTGGCAAAGAAGAGTTACTTGTTCCGCATTATATAAATAAGAGCAGAAAATTCATGGGAACCCATGCAAAAGCATCGTGTGTCACACAGATTCCTCCAGTTGAGTACAGGGACTATAAACACTGTTATCTTCCTTGTAAAGTATGAGTGTACCTCTGCTCATATCCTGAACTAAACCAAGGAGCAGCTCCACACTAAACGTCTTTGGGTAACATCTCACCAGTATGATTACTCCCAATAAGACTAACAGAACATGTTTTAAGGAAATGAATTAGATGGCTGTTTAGGTTTCTTCAGGATTTACTTTGGCCCCATATTTCTCCTGCTTTAAGATCCAAAGAAAGTTGTATTGAGTTTTTATTGGTGATTCTGAGTATACGCATTTATAACATGTAAATGTGAGAGATGAATTTAACATATTAAAAGTTCTATAGCATCTATTCAGAAAGGATTATATACTCTACAAACTAGTGAAGTCATACAAAACCATTTTTCATTGTCTTTTCAACTGAGAAGAATCCTATTCAGCACGCTTCTCCTGAGGTGGCTCATACTGAGCAAGCTTTGCTTTCAGTTTTTTATTTTCTTCTATAGTAGCTTCATATTTCTCTTTCATTTCTGCCAATTCTAGGCGAAGCAGCTCAATTTCTGGGGTAGCAGCTCCTAAGTGATGCTTTAAAAAATCCAAGGCACTAGTAGGTTTCTCTGGTTCTTCATATAAGGTTACCAACACCTTGGTCAACGTGTCTAGCACCCCCAACTTCTCCAAGTACCTCCGGAACTGCTCACGCTTTGAGTTGGCGGCTTTGTAATGGGCCATAGTGACAGGGGCAACGGTGTAGCTGGTGCCAGAGACCATGGTCGGCAGGCTCGGAGCTGCACTAGAGTGTTATATTTTTGATTTCTTAAAAAACAGAGTTCTTCACCAGGCATCACAAACTATCCAAATCAGATAAGCTAAAAAGACTCAACTGTTATGCATGGGATGGATTTAACTCAAGGAAGCAGCCTAGAGTCTCAAATGAGAACTCTGCTATTTTAGATCCTTTCCCCTTTAACCCTGACTGTCACCCACCAGGTTCACCTGACACTTAATCCTCAGCAGCCCACAGAGTGTGGCACATGGAGAGTATTTGGAAATGACTAACTTAGTTCAAGAAAGGTCATTTGGGCAAGGATGCAGTACCGTGAACCTATCTACGTTTTCTCCAGAGATCTGCCATACGCTAGGTGCTTTTATATTTAAACTATTAGGGACCCCACCCCTTGCAATAAAGGAATTTATCCGCTGTCCTTTGGATTTGAACCTCACTTCCTAATTGGAGGCCAGTAGCTGCTTTGGGTGTTACAAAGGACTGCTATTTTATCCCACTAGATCAAAGGTGTTCTCTAGAGCCCTGGTTCTCAAACACTGTTTGCTAGACCAACAGCAGCAGCTGTATCATTTGAAAACCTGAGAAAAGCAAATTCCTGGCCTCTACCCTAGACCTATTTAAGTAGAACCTCTAAGCCTGGACCAGCAATCTGAGTTTAACAAACACTGAAGGGGCTCTGAAGCACCTTAAAGGATTGAGGAGCCCTGATTCCAGCAGGAGCTATGAAAACCAAATTAGCTTGAGTTTCTAATGAGGTTTTTACTTACATGAAGCCATAGACTGCAGGAATGAAATCCCAGGAGCTGAGAAGAAAGAAGGAGAGGCAAACGATTACCACGAGGCTCCCCACATACATCATGGCATATTCCCAAGAGAAGATCCAGAAGGCTCTGCTCTTCATTTTCACTGGTATGTACTGCCGCTAGAAGAGAGGGCAGAATGAGACATTTAGGAATGCCAAGGACAGACAGCACCTATCAGCTTAAAACTGAAGATTCCTCTTGCAAGACCATGCTGTGATACACAGGTTTACAATTTTGCTGAGTCTTTAATTACATGAGAAAGACAACAAGCATCGAACAAAGTGTTAAGTGCACAAACTCTGATCTGCAACTTAGGAACTCCATTCTAGGTGGGTATCCTGAAGACAAAGTACAAATGAGAGGATAATTCACTGCACTGTGAAGCCTTCAATAGAGGAGTGAGTGAGCTATGGTAGAATGGCATACGGTATCCTATTTAGCAGATTAAATGAATAAACCACATTGATATATGCCAAACATAGCTAGATCTCAAAAAATGTGGTTAGTAATAAAAGCCATAAAAGAAAGCCACAAAACGATCTGTAAAATGAAAATATTTATGTAATATTTGGAGATTGAATCAAATATGTATTAGTTATATAAGAATACAACTATAGGGGCCGGGGAGATGGCTCAGTGGAATAAGCGCTTCCCTGGCAAGTGCAAGGGCCTGAGTTCAATCCCTGGTTCCGCAAAAAAAAAAAAAAAAAAAAAAAAGAATACATCTATAAAAGTTTTATTAAACATAGATTAGAAAGACATACTAAATTCATAACAACATTAACCTCTCAGGAAGGACAGAAGAAAAATATTTTTACATTATTTTATTAAATATGCAAAAGCGCTGGGGAGATGGCTCAGTGGAATAAGCGCTTTCCTGGCAAGCACAAAGACCTGAGTTCAATCTCCAGTTCCTAGGGAAAAAAAAAAGGAATGCAACAAATGTTTAGGGGCCAGGGAGATGGCTCAGTAGAATAAGCACTTGCCTGGCAAGTGTAAGGGCCTGAGTTCAATCCCTGGTTCTGCCAAAATAAATAAATAAATATGCAAAAGCAAAATATGAAACAATATAGAAAAAATAGGGGGCAGTACTTGAACCCAAAGTCTTTACGCTGAGCTATATCACAGCCCTTATTTTATTTTATTTTATTTTTATTTTTTGTATTTTAGGGAAGGGTCTACAGGGTGTTCAGGGTCTTATTACTAGATCGGACTCGTAGTGATCCACCTGTTTACAGCCTCCCAAGAACTGGGATTACAGGTGCGTGCCACCATGCCCAGTTTCAATTGCCTCTCAGCATACCCTGGGGTCAGGGCCAGCATGGCAAGCCCAGGGATTGAACCTCTGGCCCCTGCGCCTGCTTGCTGGTTCTTTAATCTGCTGAGCTATTTGGCTGGCCCCTTTAATTTATTTTTTTTAAAATATTAGTACATGTTTTGCAGTACATAATAATTACACTCAGTGTGGGATATTGGTACATACACATAACACATCTCAATTCCTTTTTTCCCTTTTTTGTCCACCCACACTTAAAAAAAAATTGGGCAGGAGAAGCATCAGATTCATTTGTTTATGTTGTGGTTATCAAATTATATATATATATATATATATTTATTTTATTTATTTATTTATTTATTTATTTTTGTATTTAGAACAAAGCCTACAGGGTCTCACTCTGTAGATTGGACTTGAAGTGATCCACCTATGTTCAGCCTCCTAAGAGCTGGGATTACAAGTGTGCACCACAATGCCCAGTCTCAATCACCTTCTCAAGGTGCCCCAGGCGCAGGGCCAGCACTGCATGCTGGGTGATTGAACCCTGGCTGGCTGCTGCATCTGCCTAAGCAGGCGCTTTAATTCACTGAGCTATTGGGCTGGCCCTATCAAATTATTATAAACACAGACTGACATCCAAATAGGCAAAAAACACATAAGACATTTGTTACTAAATCAAGGTGTACTTTAAGATGTACTGGTCATGTCACGTGCAGGTACAAATTCTCTATGATAAATGTGATCACTATGTGTATCTAAAATGTACCAGGGCTGGAGAGATGGCTCAGTGGTCTAAAGCACCTACTTAGAACAAGCTTAGCAAAAGCATCAGGGACCGCGGTTCAATCCCCCAGCACCACATGCCA